AAGAACGTCGAATCTGAATCACTTGAAAAAAACACGGGGGTGCTTAACTTTTTTCCAGGTGTATATTTCACCAACTCGTCACGCCATTGACAGAAATTTCATTACAGAACTTTATTCAAAAGCTACACAAAGGGGCTGTATGCATAAAAACTTTCCTAATTATGGCCCTCCAGTGGCTCGGCGGTATGTCTGCGCACTTACAACGTTAGAAACTGGATTTCGATACTTGTGGTGGGCAGAGTGCAGTTAGAACATTGTGTAGCTTTGTGTGTAATTACAAACAAACGTTCCTAACTTTGAACTAATAAATTAGAAGGAGTGTAGCTAGTCAACAGTATATATCCACTGCCGTCTCCTGAGTTATTCTTGTCTGATACAGTAGTAGATTTGATCGACTGTCATAGCCCACTCATGGGGAACCAAAGCGTTTTTGTGACAAAGGTAACCAACCATGAAATCTTAGATTCGCAGTCCAAGCACGCTAACTACGAATTGTAGAAGTATATCGTGTAATTTTCCACCATCTTTAGTGACGTAGAAAGTAGTTTTCACTCCTAATCTATTTATATCTCGCGCAACTTGAATATTCAGTCGAGTTTTCAGATTCGGACAACAAATTTCCTGTTTGACCCTACTGTTATTAGCGGACCTATCCTATGCTTGCTCGGAAATCAGTTTATCTGAGAATACCACAATAGAAATGTAGAAAAAAAAAATGTGACGTTTTTCTCTAATTTTCTTGCTTTTGTTATGACTGATCTTGTGCATTTTGATATTGACTTGTATATTTAATACTCTTCTGTGATGTTAATATGTTCTTGTATTTTGTTTTTGATATAGGAATATAAGCGTTATAAAAGAAAAACATTAACACTTTCCCTGCTGTGGGAACTAGTGCATTGCTAAGAGTTTGGAATTTTGTTCCACCATAAAGAAAGGGTATTCCCCTTCAAACTTCCAGAAATTTAACGGTTTTAAGTTTCAGACAAGTAATGAAATATTAAAACACGTATTTATGTGTGTGTGTGTGTGTGTGTGTGTGTGTGTGTGTGTGTGTGTGTGTATGTGGGAAAAAGTTAATAACGAAAACAAAATACAGGACAATTATCACAGCCCAGTTTATATCCTGAACAATCTCTCATCACTGATGTTCTGGGTTTCCCCTATTTTACAGTTCACTACTTAAACCAATTTTCAGAGGAAGGATACTCTTCAATTTTAAGTGATAATGAAATGAAAAATAAAGTGCAATCATTCGTTCTCAAATAAAATATTTTTTGTTTAGTTTTCAACTCTGGGTTAGTTGTCCAAACTTTTTCGTGTTCCTAATGTAAAGATGATCACTATATTTAATAATTGTAGTTTGGCACAAACAATTTTATGCTAAAGGTGGCATTACGTACGGACACCTCTTCTCCCATCCCCTCTCGTACCTGTTTTGTTATTTTTAATTCATCTAGTTTAAGAATTAATATTAAACTGGTAAGAGCATTTCAATAGAGTTAATGTGATATTTTATCAAATCTAATGAATTTATAAAGCATTCACACTTCGTGAGTTTGATATTAAGACAAAACGTTTTTATTTTCTCAGAATATTCGAAAAGGTAGCCCGTTACTGCTCAGTCTTCACAGACGTGATCCCTCTATCGGTCATTCTTGGCTTTTACGTAACTTTAATTATATCTCGATGGTGGTCCCAGTTTACTTCCATTCCTTGGCCAGATAGGTAAGGTGTATTAAAATTTTCATTGTAAAGTTTACTGAATTATAAGTTGTACACTGTTTTACATTTGATTAAACAGCTTGCAAAGTTGTAGTGAAACTAGAATGTTATAATAATATTTAGCTTGTACCTTCTATATAATTAAACAGTTACCTTAATTTGCAAGAAGTTTTAAAATAAAGCCGCATTGGAATATCTGGTGTGGCCACCGCGAGGAATCAAACTCCAAATTTTAGCGTTCCAAGTCCATGAACTTTCCGCTGCCCCATCAGAAGACAAGTTGCAAGAATAAATAAATAACTGTTGTAAATTTCACAAAATAATATCGTCATCTTTGGATCTTCGAGGTGTTTTTTATCTTATAAGCAATATTCTCAGTTTTTCTTTTTGTCAAAATAACATAAAAATATTTGCTATAGATAATACAATTCTGCCATATCGATTTACTTGTGTCATATATACTAGACTGTAATATTTGGTCCGCGTGGGGAACGCGATTCCCGTGCAGTTTATCACTAAATAAAATCCGTCTACTCAAAGTTACTGATATATTGCCTCCGTATCCATCCAATATTTACTTGCTCAGTTTTCTTTCTTTTTATTATAAATGTGTGTGATAATTAATATGCAAACAAAGTAGGCTTTAGATGCCTTACGTTGATTTTTCTGTGCGACTATTTTTCTCGTGAGAGTTTTTAGCTTTTTACGTATATTGCAAGATGTTAATTCAAAAATATGGGGGAAAAAAAAGTGTGTTATGTTAGGCTTCAAGTCTTGAACATGACAATTTTGGATTTGTAAAATTCCAGCCGCCTGTCAACAATTAAATAATAATGAAACGTTTACGTATTAAAGTTACAAAAGATAATGTTTTTGTCATAGAACTGCGACGATGATCGCCAGCTGTGTACATGGATCAGATGAACGAAGTCGAACAATCCGCCGAACTTTGGGCCGGTACCTTTTGTTGATGCTGCTCATAACATTTCAGGCAGTCAGTACATCTGTGAAGAAGCGGTTTCCTTCTTTAGACCATATTCAAGAAACTGGTGAGTTTCCATCAGTTTGAAATCATGGTACCATTAGTGAAGTTGTATGTATACAGTTAAGGGTCTCTTAAAATGAAGAAATTTCTTTAAAATATCTTTGTAAGTAAGGGTATTAAATAAAATGTTAAAATTAAAAAATTTGATTCTGAACATTTAACAACTAAAAAAAACAAAAAACTGCTTACTATGAAAACGCAATAATATTAGTTTAGTACGTTGAAATATATTTTGCATATAGCAGATGCTAGTTTTAAAATTCCTCCCTAGATGGTGCCACTATGGTTCAATAACAAGTAACAAACAATTTGCTTATAAAAACTTGTTTCTACACGTATATGGAATATCCATAATTCCTTTTAATATTCTAATAGAAAAATTACAAAAACTAATCGCATATGGACAGCATGGAAGAATCAGTTTGGTTGATTCGTTTCAACATTTAGATAATAGTTCCTGATATATACGCATCGTGATGCAAATAAGTTTTATCATGTGTTTTATTTTAACCTTTCATTTTATACTAGTAGAAGTTGGTATTAAAGGACAATTATGATTTGATTTTCTCTTGGAAATAGTCTTGTTTATTAGTTTTTGATTTATTGGGGTACCCGAGTTCAGTCTATAGATTTATACCTGGCCTGAACGCACGGGACTCGGGAGTGATAACCAACGAAATAAAAGGTTGATTATAACAAAAACACCTCGCTGTACAGGACTATACGTAAAAATGTTAAAGACACGGTAGGCCATAAAAAAAAAAGGAAAGTGTTTCATTGAATTAATTAGTTCATTATTTTTTTATCGCTCGTATATTAGGCTTAAATGATGACACAGGGAACTTTGTAGCCTTAGAAAGTGATAAACTGTATGGATTGGATGGTAAAATTCAGAACGGGGAGAACTGAAAATGTGGTGCACAAACTATAATTAAGTTTATGTCAAAGGAGTAAGAGGGGCGAGGGAGTGTATAAGGAGAATAATAGTTACCCCACCTCCTTTTGCTTTATTTACATAGGTTGTTTGTTGTGTGGCAAAAAAAAAAGAACCTAATAAAAACCGCATAGAACATTTAATGATATATGCAAAACTTCATTACGCGTGTTTCCAGTGGCACAGTCCGTTAGAATTAACCTTTTGGTATTATAGACATGTTCGGGTTCAGAAGTATAAACACTACAAGTATCTACAAGTGTTTTATGTACATCTACACACACATCAATTAGGGTTGTTATCTTAAAGGAATAATGACAGCTGAGGAACGAAAAGCCTACGAGAAAATAAATTTGTGCGGAAGCAAATGGTGGATCCCTGCCCAATGGTTTGCATGTTTGACGCTGAGAGCTAGAAAGGAGGGGAGGATTAAAGACTCCATTCAAATGGATACACTTTTACTGGTACAGTATAGTTTAGTAGTGTTCATTATGTATGTAGGATACACTTTTACTGGTACAGTATAGTTTAGTAGTGTTCATTATGTATGTAGGATACACTTTTACTGGTACAGTATAGTTTAGTAGTGTTCATTATGTATGTAGGATACACTTTTACTGGTACAGTATAGTTTAGTAGTGTTCATTATGTATGTAGGATACACTTTTACTGGTACAGTATAGTTTAGTAGTGTTCATTATGTATGTAGGATACACTTTTACTGGTACAGTATAGTTTAGTAGTGTTCATTATGTATGTAGGATACACTTTTACTGGTACAGTATAGTTTAGTAGTGTTCATTATGTATATATGTGTTTATCTATCTATCTGTGTGTGTATATATAAATTAAGCCTTAAAATTATTTTTATTTTAAAATTCCATTGCAATTTTTCAGTCGTAACCTTAGTCATAACGGAAATTGCCTGTGGTGATAGCACCCTAAAGCATCCCATCTATCAGACATTATCCAAACGCAGATGAAAAACTAGTTAGTAGTTGTGGGAAGGCAGTTACCATTAAGTTCTTCTTATACTAAAAGTAGAAAAAAGAAAATAATAAGACCACCCTAAAAATACTTCTACTAAAAGTTCCTCCCAACTTTCGCCTTTAATTTCTAATAGTTCCTAAAGTAGAAGAATAACAATAAATAACTCTGTATGTGTGTGTCTGTCTGTCTGTCTAAACAAGATACAAGGTCGGGTGACGCCACAATATTTCTATTCCTTCCCATGTTTTTTTTTTCCCGAGCCATGTCTGTTTCAATAATTGGGTCCTATGGTGGTTAACTTTAAGTTCATGAACTTGCAACGCTAAAAATCAAAGAAATAACAATAATTATTTGAAATGTCCTTAACCTAGAAAGAACGGGTAGAAGCGAATTTGTTATGTTTGTCGTAATATCAGCTGTAGTATTTAAGGGTCAAACTTAGAAAAATCATGATGATGCGCGACTTTTGCAGCACTCTGTAGATGTTAATAGCATGCAGAAACGTGTATACAAGGACCATTAAACGTAGAAATATAAAGTATAGAGAAAAACTAGCTCCCCTCCCCCCCTCCCCATGAGAAAAAAAAACTTTTTTAAGCGCATGAGTGTTTACAGTAAGTAATCTTTGGTAATTTTTAAGATGATCACATCAATTTATGATATTGTAAGTATAATAAATCTTGAGGCCTGCTAATCTTCTTCGCTTGATCACAAGTTTAGATTTTTTTCACGTTTTAGGAAATATTTAGCGAGTTAGTATTACTTAAATTTGTTAAATTATTATTATTAATTATAACTCGTACTTTATGAAAATATGTTGATACTTACCTATATTTTGTAGGAAATGTGCACTTTTCGTAGCTTCTGTGGAGACATGCTGAATTACGATTGGGTCAGTATCCCTCTGTTATACACCCAGGTAAGTGATTGTAACACCAGTTATACATGGAAGAAAGTATGATTGTAACATCCAGTTTATACACCCTAGTAGGTATGATTGTAACATCCAGTTTATACACCCTAGTAGGTATGATTGTAACATCCAGTTTATACACCCTAGTAGGTATGATTGTAGCATCCAGTTTATACATCCTAGTAGGTATGATTGTAGCATCCAGTTTATACACCCTAGTAGGTATAACAGTATCCCTCTGTTATACACCCAAGTAAGTGATTGTAACACCAGTTATACATGGAAGAAAGTATGATTGTAACATCCAGTTTATACATCCTAGTAGGTATGATTATAACATGATAAAAACACTAAACGTAAAATAATAGCATGTCGTGCCACTTTGCAATATGTATGTATGTGATATGATGAGTACAACGAAAAATGATGACTATATTGGCTACCGATGGCATCATAGGGACATTGTACATTCAAATACGAACCACCAATGAAACTAAACACCAAAATCGACACCAATTTCACTTCGAAACATTATGACTATTTAAATAAGGAATGATGTTATAGTTTTTTTTTTATAATCACATCATATTGTCCAATAGGACACCTTCGTCAAAATCAAATAATCATTTGAAATAATTGTTTTTTTATTTATTTTTGATGGATGCTGTTGATCGTTAACAGGCTGCAGATGGCCATAAATATTTTGATCTAAGAATAACATATTAAAAAAAATTGCTATGTGTTAAAAATATTTCTGGAGCAAATGAAGTAAAAGAAAAAAAAAATGGCACACTAAAAATATGAAATTACGATCTTGATGTATTTTTTGAATTTACTTGAATTTTTTTTATGACGGTAAAATCACATGCTGATAAGTGTTAATGTCATTGTAAGATTATAAGTATAAACAATAGTAAAGTATTTCAACGTTTTGTGATATCAAAACTAATTTATTTGTTAGATACTGATGATTATGACATGATTAGGTTACTAACTTATTTTTCAATTCTTACTAATGAAGATTTGAGCAATATTTCTCATCCTGAACAGTTGCTAGATGGAAACAAGATTGAACAAAATAACCACATTAATTCTGAGCTTACTAAGAAAAAATAGGAAGTTTAAAGAATAATAAAGCTCCTGGGCCAGATAATATTTACCCAAGGATTTTGAAGGAGGTTAAGGATTCCTACTATTTTTTCTAAGTCCTCGAATAATGGGCAGGTACCAGAGGATTGGCTCACTAAATATAAAAGTGGCTGAATGGAAGCAAAGAGTTGTAAGGAATGAAGTTCAATCAAACTGGATTATTGTCACGTTTTGGATACTCCAGGGCTCGGTGTTAGAAACTTTGCTCTTTTCAATTTACGTCAGTGACATAGACGAAGGAATGGTTAGTTAGTTATTTAAATTTGTTGATAACATTAAAGTTTTGGGTGTTACTGGCTGTGAGGAGGGTGGTGCTGCTTTACAGAAGGATTTTGTGAGTTGGGCAAATAAATGTTAGATGGCTTTTAATTATAATAAAAGCAAGGTAACTAATGTGGGACATCATAATTTGAATTATGGGAATAACCTTAACAGTGTTATAGAAGAAAAATATCTTGGTGTTCTCGTTCATCAGTCTCTTAAGCCGTCCAAGGTTGTATCTACAGAAATGTTGAATAAAAGACTAAAGAGGTTAATATGTGTTTGTAAAGGTCATTGGTTAAACCACACGTGGAATAGCGTGTTTCGTTTTGGAAAGAACATTGGATTATTAAAAAGGGCTCAATGTAGGACTACAAGGATGATACTTGGGATGGGAAGGTTTTGATACAAGAAAAGTTTAAGATATCTAAAGTCGTTGTCATGAAAAAAGAAGA